CACCTTCAAGAAGGTGAAGTCGTTTTAAGTGTGTTTAGTCACTAGCGCCAGTCCGTTGCCATTTGAGATTTTCAGATGGAGCAGCAGTTATGCTCTTGAGATCTTTGAGACAGAGCAACAGTTATGCTCTTGAGACTTTTAAGATGACAGTAGTTATGCCCTTGAGAATCGTGGTGAAGAGCCACCACGATAAGTTTAAGATGTTAAGGGGATGAATCATTATGACTTCCTTAACTAAGTTTAAGGAAAGCCTGAATGGCTTCTCATACGTATGAGTTGGCAACCGGACTAGCTAGTGAGGGATCCCAGTGTAAGTCAAGTATTTAAGTCAAGCTTTGAGATTTAAGAATGGAGCAACAGTAACTCCCATACAGTTTTAAGAGTTAAGCTTTTAACAGTGGAAGTACAAAACAACTTCCACACAGTTAAGTAAAGTGCTCAGGTTTTAATAAGATGTTAAACGTAAGGGCGTAGACTGATCCCATCTCACTCACCAGTTTGAGGAGCTAGAAGAGCAGTTAGTGAGCAGGGAGTTCGAGGGCAGCCAGCGAGAGGAGGTCAGTGCAAGCGTCATGGAGGATGCTTAGTCGAGGTTTCCAGTAGCAACGGCTTTAGAGATTATTAGTTATTTACATTTATGATTATGAGTACAGACTGGAGATTATTTTGAGATTTTTAGTATTGAGTTTGCTCACTTGTTAGCAATGTAGTTAAACTATAGTTTTTATGTATAAGCGAAATGATGGGTACAAACTTAAGCGTAAAAGCGGAGCGTAAGAACGTAAGTTTATATGAACCATTGAAATTGTAAAAAAGCAACTTAAAAGACTAATAGGATCCACACACAGAAAATTGGAAAAGATTTTGAACTAGAGTACATTCTAACTCAGAACAAGTTCATAAACATAGAAAAAGAGTTGAATCGTACGCTAATATGAATCATAACTCTGAAATATTCATATTATGGACATCACAAGCCCCCCAAAAAAATTGATCATGATTTATGCTACATTTGGGCAGCAACGTCCACATTTCCATCCAAATCATATCATCTTAATTACCGCCATCATCATAGTTGTTATTGTCACTAACATCATGCTTCTCATAAATACATCAATCATCATTCATGTTAAAAGAATCATTTTGAAGCCAGCGGCATGATCACTTTAGTTTTTTCATCCACAAAAAACCATTTGACCATCGCACGACGTGCCAAATCGCTCCATAAACATTATCATTAAAAGCTCTTATAAGCGTCCTAAAAGCTAGCTTTTAAGGATTTTTTATGCACATATTGTGGTTTTAAAGAGTTTATATTAAGCTTATGGTGTCAAAAGATTTTTCAAAGAAAATTACTATATTGGAGGAGGTAAGAACTTAAAAGCGTAAGCTTTTAGGCTTAAACTATAGCTTTTAACTACATTGCTTGTTAGTGCTTTGCTTTGAACTACAGGAGTGTGTTTTCAGTATTTTATTATGAGATTCTTCCCACTGCAATTTAAGATTTGAGTATTTTATTGGTCAAGGGCATTTAAGTAAAAGTAGTACCTGGCCGGGTTAGGGTGTCACATTTTGGTATCAGAGCCGGTCTTCCTCTGTTCATTGGTCTCCAAGGAATACTAGAATATCGGTCTCAGTTTTAAAGGCTTTTGTTTTAAAGGAAAGGAAAACGAGTCAAGGATCTTCTTTTAAGAGTCTATAGAATCTCCAGTCTACTCTAATCGTATTAAGGTAAATAACTAAAGTTCTAATAGAAGAGGTTCCAATCGTAAGGGAATACTTCTAGGATTCTGAAGGAGTAGTACGAGGATTCTACTACTAGGCAGCAAGGAGAGGATCTAATAAGCAAAAACAAACAACTGGGGAACTATGAATCTCCGAAGAAAGAGCTACAATCATTAGATGTTAGTAGCTATAATGATGAGAGGGGTCCTTGACCCTAAGCAGTGGCGAGTCAAGAAACAAAGAGGTACCACGAGAAGTCCCTCAACTAGTTTTAGTGGTCAACGCTATTACAACACTGTAACAAGCAGCAGGGGAAAGCTTAAACTTCAAGGGAAGCTAGGGTAGTATAAATGAAGCAAAGGAGGAAGTAAGTAGGTTAGAGTGGGTCTGAAAGGACAACAAGAAGTCAATAGTTTAAGGAGGAGAGGAGGCATGGTCATTTACATATGACGATGAAGGAACCCTTATAGATAAACCACATAACTGGAGAAGAGGGTACATAACCCAGGGGAGTTAGGCCGATGAAAAGCCTTTAGAAGGAACAAGACAAGCAACGAGGTAAATGATGTAGAGGATAAGTTATGGTCTCAGTACGACCACCATTAGATGAGACATGGGGGAAGTGCTACTGAAGTCTATGGCATACCTGGTAGAAGACAGTGGGGAGTCAATAAATAAGAAAAGATATGGAATGTGACAAGGAATAACAGTTAGCTAGTAGATGGCAGTATGAATAGAGAACCACTTCTCAGCAGTCCGTGAGTTGGATACCAAGATAACACCGAGTAAAAAAGAAGATATTCGAGACCCTACAAACTACGCAGATCACGAGAGTTCGGGAGTTCGTTGGGACCGTTGAAAGGGGAATGCCAGAGTTCGTGATGACTTGTTATGTGGGTGTCCTATCCTAAAAAGAAGTAGAGACTAGCCACCTAGGGTACAAGAGGGGTGACAGAAGGAGGAACCTCTGTAGTATGTTGGAACTAGCGGGCTAAGAGCTGGAGTCTCGGAACTAGCTGTAGGAGTAAATCATTCAACCAACCCGGTATAGACAAGCAAGTACAACGGTCATTGGAAGTTTTAATAAATTTTAGATAATTCGAGGAGGATTCCCAACGGTCGTGATAAAGGAAAGTTGCGTACAATACTAGGAAAATGCAAGAAGGACAGAGGAAGTTTGACTAGATTTCAAGAAGTCAATGGGTCAAGTCTCAGGTTACTCGATGCAAGAAGCTGCACAAAGAGGTACGATGAGGGAAAGCATTACCGAGAAGGAGGAAAAAGAGAAGTTACCTTATCCAACGTGTCCCACTCTGAGTGGGCGGGGCATAGTAGGAGGGCTCCAGCGGAGACAGCTAGTTAAGGATGAAACAAGCACGCTTAGTTAAGCCACAAAGAATCCTAACCAAGAGACTAAGTTTATATACAAGATCGACCTACAAAAGAGACATGGAATGAGTTATGTTAAAGGTTACCAAGGGCAAGCCAACATTGGAAGTTGTGACCTAAAACAATAACGAGAAGATACTCAACAGAGTTTGGTGACCAAATATAGTACAAGCAACAACAGAAGAGTTGTAGTTTGGTGGTAGTAAAAGTAAAGAAGCAAGAAGAACACCATGGGAAGTTATAGAAAAAAAAAATGGTTGGCATCAACCTGGTGATGTATGCGTCAAGGAAGATAGTTAAGACGGGCGGAAGTAGGAGTACAACAGACAACAAGAAAGCATTAGGTTGACCACCAAGTAGAGAACAATCAATCCATATGAAGTCCATCACGAAAGTAAGGTGGAATCGTGGTCGTTAAGACTAGTCAAAGGGAGAACCTTATCTATCATGGTACACGGGTGAGAAGAGAATATGAGAACCTAGATGACTATATCGAGAACAAGGGACATCTAGAACTAGCAAGGAACATCAAGAAGAAGAGCCATGAGTAAAGAAGCAAGAGAGATATGAGTTTAGGGAACCTGCTAGGATACCTGATAGACCATTGATTACACATGTTTTTACCCCTATTCTTGAGACGTTTGAGATGTCGATTCCCGTGTTTTTGGCCGATTTCACGCTAGGTTGTTCTTGTTTGTGATATTTCAGGTCCTAGTACGTGAATGAAGGTTTAGGAACTAGTTCATGGTCGATTAGACGAAGTTTGGACGCTTGGCGAGAAGCTGAGAAGCCAAACGGGCATGCCCAAAAGCCACACGGCCGTGTGGGAGACCCACTATGGCCGTGTGAAGGCTCGGCAAAAGCCACACGGGCAGCTTGGACACTCACACGGCCGTGTGAGTCGTGGCCGCGTGGGAAGCCTGAAGTCACTTAACGAAACGCCGCGTTTTGCAAAGCAACACGAGCAGCTGGGGTAGTCACACGGCCGTGTGACATGGCCATGTGAGTCGGGATTTTTTGGTTTTAAGCCACTTTCCAGCCACAAGTGAGGGGGGTTCCGAGTTTTAGAGAGACAGAGCGATTCCTAGAGAGAGAAAGCGATGAACAGGAGTTCCCAAGTGCCCTAGCTTGATCTTCATTACCATTGGAGGCCGGCTTGAGCTTGGAGAAGTGTCGATCGACGCCCAGGAGCAGAAACCCATCCTTCACAGTATGGTTTCCGCATCTGAATCTGCTTTTGCTTCTTTTCCATGGAGTAGTTCTCCCATTCATCTGGGTATGGGAAACCCTAGATTTGTATGTTAGGTTTGATTATATGAACCCAAGTACAGATTCTATGATTTGATTATATTCAATTGAGGTTTGAATGATTGAATGGCATGAATCCTTATCAAATTCATGTTGTTTCTGTTTTAACCTAGAAAGAGAATATCTGCCTAGGTTGATAGAGCACCCTTAATCGAAGGTAGTGAATTGACGACTTTAGTCGAGGAGCCAATTCAGTATTCTATACCGAATTTACTTCGGTAGTGAAGGTTTTGTTTGTTAGGGCCTCAGTCTGTTTACTCTGGTGGAGGTTAGTCGCCCGCTAGAGACTCAGACTGAGAGGGTCTGGAGACCTTTAGTCAAGACTTCAGACTGTTTATGAACCTTCTGCAGTATAACTATCATAGAAATTGAACTTGGTAAATTGCAATCCGGCTTAATTGCAGTCTAGGGGGAACCATATATGGGTGACCTCTCTCGACTTGAAACAACCGTTTAACTTGCTTTGTGTTTTTGCTTGTTTGAACCTGCACTTAAGTTTTACCGCTAGATAATAAGAATTCACTGAGTAGTCATCACATCTAGGACCCGGGTTGGCATTAAAACCCAAACCCGCTATACTACGCTTTAGGAAGTGGTTACACTTGGCCATTTTCTAGAGTGACAGTAGGAGTAAGTCAAGTTTTTGGCGCCGTTGCCGGGGACGGCTAGGTTGTTGAAGAAAAGTGATTTCTGTTACTTTAGCATTTTCGTTTTCGCATTGACTGTTTGTTCTTTCCCACTTGTGCCTTCACGGGTTTGCTTGCTTGATTGTGTGCAGGTAATGCATGACCCGTAGCCAGTCGGGAGGTTTACTGCTCTTGAATCCAGAGATTGAACGCACTTGTCGCCAACTCAGGAGACAACAGCGAGCCAGACTGGCTACGGAGGAGCGCATAGACGGCCATTTGAGCAGCGAGTCCGAGGACGAGTACGAGATGGAAGGAGATTACAATCCACACCAAGGGAATCCTCACCAGGCTTCCCCGGTGAATCAGGTCTTGGGGAACAACCCCATACCCCAGGCAGATGGGGTTCATCATCATCCACCGCCGCCGGGTCCCACCTTGGAGTACTACTACACTCCACGGATTGCTGACATCCGCCCGGTCATCCTCTACCCGCCTATTCCAGCGAACAATTTCGAGATCAAGCCATGTTGGATTCAACTCATTACATCCTCTATCCAGTTCCATGAGGAGGCAAGGGTGCATCTTTCCCGTTTTCTGCAGCTGACGAACGGGTTCAAGCTGAATGGTGTCATTGATGATGCAATCCGCCTTCACCTCTTCCCCCATTCTCTGGCGGGGAATGCTAAGAGGTGGTTGGAGACCCAGCTGTAACACCACACCCTAAAATAATGGGTCGAACCAATGGTTCAACCACGCAGCGGAAATCACTCGGGGTTTACGCTTTCAAAATCTCGACTCAACTCACATCCACATCATTATCATATGTTTAAAATTCAACTCATCATAACAATTTACTAAAAATCGCTTTCTCAATTCATTAATCAATCTTCCTCAAAATCAGGATTCACATAACCCAGACTATAGGTGAAAAACCTTTTAAATCAAAATCCTCCATCGATCATTGTGCAGTGCTAGAGTCATCCTCAATTTATCACACCTGTCACATCTAGAAAGAAAAATGGGTCAGCTACTAAGCTGAGTGTGTGGACCAGGCCTATACGGCAAAACTATTGTTAGCATGCCATCACATCATCACATCTTGTTGTTTAAAAACACATCATCAACAAATTATCATGCCACACGAAAATCTCATTAATCTCTAGATTTATTTCTAGGTCATCAATCTAAATTCATCTCTAACCCAGTTCCTCATGGTATGACTTTCATTAATCAAGTCGTATATCGACATAAAATCGTAAACTTACCTCAACTCATGAATCCATCATATCAATCCTTCATTCAAAGTCAATTCGTCATTTGAACATCAAACATATCAATCGTTCATCCATAATCAAATCACCAATTTGGAAATAACCATATCAATCATTCATCCATAATCAAATAACCAATTTGGCATTAACCATATCAATCTTTCAATCAATCATCAATCGAATATAACTTCACGATTTTCCTTTATGGAAATCATCTCCATCATATATATCATATGCAATGCATGAAATGCAGACTCTCCATTTGTTATTAATTTGCGCGCTAAGGTCACCATACGCCCACCCCGCTCGAGCTCATCATCTTAGTGGTTATATAAAAAAAACCACAATCTCATCCAATCTAGGATTATTATAAATCCTTTCATTAGGACCGCAGCCCAAACAATCTCATAGGGGTAGGCATAGGCCCTTCTATGTCTATGTGATTTAACATGATCAAACAATCTCAATTTTTCTCTTCCATCATATCTCAATCGATCCAAGAAATCAACAGCGTCCCATTGATATTCCCAGTCCATGCATATCTCACATCATCTATGCATACTTTGATGCATTGCACGATCTCAATATAATCATCATCTTCTCAATGATATTAAATAATTCATTCTCTTAAATCAAACTTGACAAATCTACCAAGTACTCAATTTATCAATACCTCATTCACTCATCGTAATCATTTAACATATCAAATACAAATCGATCATGATAATATCTCATCCACATCATCATTAATCAAAGCATTCATCATATCAACATTGTCACAAAATATCTCAGTAATATTTATATTTACCAATCACATTTATACCAATCGATATTCTAATCACTTCATACTCATACACGTCAATCGTATCACTATCACTCAATATCCCTGTCATTATCATCATCATGCCATAATCATACATATCAATAATCAATATATATTTTATTCGTCATTAAATCATTTTATCATACGAACCATATAATAATAATAAAAATACATCAAATTATCCATATCGTCCATTAACTAATTTCATCAACATATCAACTAAACATATTAGGATCAAAATCTTGTTTTCATGAATTTATATTAATAACTTGAAACCATTCTGAAAAGGACCATACCCAATATATAATTCTCATGATTATCAATAGTTCATTTGAAAAGTTCTCCCTTAATAACACATCTCTCAATAATTATTTCTAAAAGTACCATCTACCTCATCGTTCGTCAAAATACATTAATAAGATCATCTTCAATATTTCGATTAAATACTCAATTAACTATTGCTATCTTAAAACGTAACTTAACTTCAATCTTAATTAAAATATCTCGTGATAATCATCTCACCATCATACTCAGTTTATAATAATTTTCCCTTAAATCACCATTATTCTAAAAATCGTAATATAATCTCTTTAATAACAAAACGACATAGAAACCGGTTTCATCCATCTAAAAATCCAACCAAGATCACAAATCCGTTGCTGTAATTATTATGACCAGAATTCCTTCTCGTATCTAATCCAATTTATAAATTCACAATATCAACCTTTTTAAAATCATAACATCAATTAATTATAAAAACTCAATTATTACCAATATAATGATTCTCATGGTAATATATCATGACTAATGTCGTCTCAAGATTCCTTAAATTTCTTTTCCATATGCTGATCTCAATAGACATTTTCATAAAATATTCGGAGTTCACCATATACGTCAACAATTCCAATACGAGATTAATAATTATTATTATCATAAAAATTAGTTAACTTCATCAACAATTTCATCCAAGATCACAATCATGAATCAATCACAAATCCATCATAATCATTAATCATCAACTCAATCATGCGTATTTAGAAATAAACACGTTATTCCTGTTCCCTTTTATCGTAAGCCCACACACCTTATTTATGACGAAATCCGATTCTGTGAAAGCTCTTTAAATTCCAGATCTTGGTTTCATAATATTCTCCTCATTCGCACAGTCCTGTAGGCGAAAACGGTTCGTCGTTTGGACGTCAAACGAATGAATTGTGGACAAAATACTAATTCTGTCAAAACACGAAGTACCAGGTACCAAATCTAACATTTTCCAGTCAACTGAATCCTGTTGACCGTGACCTCTTAGGCAAATTACGTCTAGGTCCTCTACATTATCGAACACCCAGAAATGATACCTGAGTTTTGTAAAACGGCAGTTTTACGTTGCAAACTTGCGGAGCTCGGTTCTTGCTCGTCCGACGTCGAAAACGAGTTTCGTCAAAACGTGCACGCTCCTGGAGTCGTCCTCTTCGTCATGGTACCAGCCTTTTGGATTTTGTTGAAGTCGACGATGCCGGTGCCGCCGACGCAACTTTCCGACGAGCCTCCCATGAGCTTCTACGAACCTCCAATGGCGATTCTGACTTCGTAGTTGGCTTCCGGACCGCCCTATTATCATAATGCAAGTCTAAGAAGATTGGTCTCCTCTCCTCTCCTTTCCTTTCTTCTTTCTTTCTCTCTTCTCTTCGTATTTCTGTTCGTCGTCTATGGATGGAGGAAAAAGATGAAAGGACTCACCCTTTGTTTAAAGGCTCTTTAAAGAACTGTCACTCTCCCCTCTATGATCGTATCCAAATTATTAGATATGCCAACCCGTTATGTTAAAGTGTGTCGGGAATAATTGGTCTTCTCCCTCTCTCCGTCCGTGCAAAAATGCATTTACTAGGCCTGGGATTTACGTCTCAATATTAATAAACAGAAGATTCCTCATGAGCATCGATAGTAAGCATGCAGCCCAGCGGTGTAGCGCTTGTCTTATTGCCTTGAGGTCACTACTTCGACCCTAGGCTATGTACATTTATTTTTCTTTTCTTTTTGCTCTTATCTAATGTTTAGGGCGACTTCCACTGTTTAACTCATAACTCCTTCGTTTAATAGCGAAATCTGATACCGTCTGCGTCCATGTGTTCTTAGTTTTGTTCTCTATCATATTACCTTCATTTCACATTTATTGTCTAGATTTTTCATATCCTTAATTGGCGAGGACTCGCGATCGTTACATTTCAATCTCTTCTCTCCAACTATTTTTTTTTATAACATTGGTTCTCCATCGAACCAAAATGGTTAAAGAGTTAACCTATGTATGGGATGTTACAACTCTCCCCCTCTTAACTGGATTTCGTCCCCAAAATCAAAGTGTGGTCAATCCAGTCGTACACATCCTTCGTACCAACTCCATCGTGTATAACACTTAATTAAGCCACCGAGAATGGTCAACCCTCTTATTTTCTCATGTTTCCTATCACTTGGTTGTGGTGAATTGAGAAGTGGAACTATTGAATAACGTCGACATATAGCCATAAGCAGGTTAATCATGTATCATGAGGGTACACTTTTTGGAGTTCTTCGTACTCCACCAATAATGCTTTGTTGGTCCCTCTGGACGTGTTTCAACTTTTCTAGCCTTTCTCCACAACCTTAGGCATTAGGGTTCTTTAGCTTCCAAAACAAAACTAGGCATTGCCTATTCTCATGTAATCCATGATCTCTTCCACAACCATTCGTCATAAAATGGTGTCAATAAATGATTTGTCATCTTGCTTGTCTCCTTTCACAATCGCTTACATGATTGTTCGCAATAGAACCTTGTCTCCTCCAGATGAGGCATCAAGTCTCAGACCTTCAACATCTCCTTATCGTGTTCAAGAAAACTCTCATTCTTTGAGATGAATTTTCCTTCACGTCCTCCCATCCTCTTCGTTTATTCATCAAGAATTTGATTCATGGTTTGGGTATATATCTAGAGCTTCGTCGTTTTTGCTCATGATGCTAATCCCTTAGTGTCAGTTACCATCCGATAACATATAGCACCAATTTGTCACTTTAGATTTTAATCTATATCGTCTCTAAATTTTGGCTACGTGCTTGCTATCACACGTCTCTTTTGTGCTTTAGCATACTCATACCGATCATAAGTTGATCATGTCATGAGTTAGCTCCGGGCTTATTGCCTTTACTCTAGCTTCCAACTTGTCCATTATTCGCCCATCACATTTACTCTCTATTGGTGCCTCTGTCTTTTAAGGTGTTGAGTTGAACTTTTGGTCATCTATTTCCTTTCACATCATTATTTTGATGATGTATCTCGTTTTCAATCAACCGTCATCATTTTCACCGCATGCTAGTTAACATCTCTTCATCTTGACTCATTCTCGTACTTAATAGTCTACTGAGCGATCTTTCTCCATCAATCCTCGAGAAATTTATTTTTCCTCAATCCACGTTAACACTCGTCACGTATTTAGTCTAATGTATAAAATAGTTATCATTAGATTGGGTCTCTCTGACCTCAACTAATATCATGAAACTTGGGATTCTAAACCCCCCAAAATGAAATCCGCAATCCTTAAAGGTTTGCAGAATTCCTACTAACTCTTTCAACTCTTGTTTCCCTTGAATCAGGAAACTCCATCCCTTAAATTGGGATGTGGCACCTTTTGCACAGATCGATGGTTCCTTGGAGGACGAAATCACTTTTCAATTTTGTTTCAAATGACTCGTCAAAAGACTTTCTTCAAAAGACTTCTCAAATCGATTTCATTTAGAATGTTTCTCAAAAATTTGCTCGAAATCATTTTGACTGAATGCAACTGACTCTAACTATGCATCACAACATCAGGTTTGGTCTCAACTCCTAGAAAGTTTAGTGCAAATACGGGTATGGAGTACTTCCCCTCTTTTGAGAGTGATCAGTTCTCAAGAGTGAAAGTAACATACCTATAACGCAGAAAACAAACCGGGCTCTGATACCACTTGTAACACCCCACCCTAAAATAATGGGTCGAACTAATGGTTCAACCACGCAGCGGAAATCACTCAGGGTTTACGCTTTCAAAATCTCGACTCAACTCACATCCACATCATTATCATATGTTTAAAATTCAACTCATCATAACAATTTACTAAAAATCGCTTTCTCAATTCATTAATCAATCTTCCTCAAAATCAGGATTCACATAACCCAGACTATCAATCTCATCTATTCCATTCATACTCAACTCAAGTTAATGATCATACTTGACCAATGTAAACTATCATGCATGCTCAAAACCCGAATCGTAAAATAAGGGTTCTAGAATAAATCAATAGGTGAAAAACCTTTTAAATCAAAATCCTCCATCGATCATTGTGCAGTGCCAGAGTCATCCTCAATTTATCACACCTGTCACATCTAGAAAGAAAAATGGGTCAGCTACTAAGCTGAGTGTGTGGACCTGGCCTATACGGCAAAACTATTGTTAGCATGCCATCACATCATCACATCTTGTTGTTTAAAAACACATCATCAACAAATTATCATGCCACACGAAAATCTCATTAATCTCTAGATTTATTTCTAGGTCATCAATCCAAATTCATCTTTAACCCAATTCCTCATGGTATGAATTTCATTAATCAAGTCGTATATCGACATAAAATCGTAAACTTACCTCAACTCATAAATCCATCATATCAATGCTTCATTCAAAGTCAATTCATCATTTGAACATCAAACATATCAATCGTTCATCCATAATCAAATTACCAATTTGGAAATAACCATATCAATCATTCATCCATAATCAAATAACCAATTTGGCATTAACCATATCAATCTTTCAATCAATCATCAATCGAATATAACTTCACGATTTTCCTTTATGGAAATCATCTCCATCATATATATCATATGCAATGCATGAAATGCAGACTCTCCATTTGTTATTAATTTGCGCGCTAAGGTCACCATACGCCCACCCCGCTCGAGCTCATCATCTTAGTGGTTATATAAAAAAAACCACAATCTCATCCAATCTAGGATTATCATAAATCCTTTCATTAGGACCGCAGCCCAAACAATCTCATAGGGGTAGGCATAGGCCCTTCTATGTCTATGTGATTTAACATGATCAAACAATCTCAATTTTTCTCTTCCATCATATCTCAATCGATCCAAGAAATCAACAGCGTCCCATTGATATTCCCAGTCCATGCATATCTCACATCAACTATGCATACTTTGATGCATTGCACGATCTCAATATAATCATCATCTTCTCAATGATATAAATAATTCATTCTCTTAAATCAAACTTGACAAATCTACCAAGTACTCAATTTATCAATACCTCATTCACTCATCGTAATCATTTAACATATCAAATACAAATCGATCATGATAATATCTCATCCACATCGTCATTAATGAAAGCATTCATCATATCAACATTGTCACAAAATATCTCAGTAATATTTATATTTACTAATCACATTTATACCAATCGATATTCTAATCACTTCATACTCATACACGTCAATCGTATCACTATCACTCAATATCCCTGTCATTATCATCATCATGCCATAATCATACATATCAATAATCAATATATATTTTATTCGTCATTAAATCATTTTATCATACGAACCATATAATAACAATAAAAATACATCAAATTATCCATATCGTCCATTAACTAATTTCATCAACATATCAACTAAACATATTAGGATCAAAATCTTGTTTTCGTGAATTTATATTAATAACTTGAAACTATTCTGAAAAGGACCATACCCAATATATAATTCTCATGATTATCAATAGTTCATTTGAAATGTTCTCCCTTAATAACACATCTCTCAATAATTATTTCTAAATGTACCATCTACCTCATCTTTCGTCAAAATACATTAATAAGATTATCTTCAATATTTCGATTAAATAGTCAATTAACTATTGCTATCTTAAAACGTAACTTAACTTCAATCTTAATTAAAATATCTCGTGATAATCATCTCACCATCATACTCAGTTTATAATAATTTTCCCTTAAATCACCATTATTCTAAAAATCGTAATATAATCTCTTTAATAACAAAACGACATAGAAACCGGTTTCATCCATCTAAAATTCCAACCAAGATCACAAATCCGTTGCTGTAATTATTATGACCAGAATTCCTTCTCGTATCTAATCCAATTTATAAATTCACAATTTCAACCTTTTTAAATTCATAACATCAATTAATTATAAAAACTCAATTATTACCAATATAATGATTCTCATGGTAATATATCATGACTAATGTCGTCTCAAGATTCCTTAAATTTCTTTTCCATATGCTGATCTCAATAGACATTTTCATAAAATATTCGGAGTTCACCATATACGTCAACAATTCCAATACGAGATTAATAATTATTATTATCATAAAAATTAGTTAACTTCATCAACAATTTCATCCAAGATCACAATCATGAATCAATCTCAAATCCATCATAATCATTAATCATCAACTCAATCATGCGTATTTAGAAATAAACACGTTATTCCTGTTCCCTTTTACCGTAAGCCCACACACCTTATTTATGACGAAATCCGATTCTGTGAAAGCTCTTTAAATTCCAGATCTTGGTTTCATAATATTCTCCTCATTCTCACAGTCCTGTAGGCGAAAACGGTTCGTCGTTTGGACTTCAAACGAATGAATTGTGGACAAAATACTAATTCTGTCAAAACACGAAGTACCAGGTACCAAATCTAACATTTTCCAGTCAACTGAATCCTGTTGACCGTGACCTCTTAGGCAAATTACGTCTAGGTCGTCTACATTATCGAACACCCAGAAATGATACCTGAGTTTTTTAAAATGGCAGTTTTACGTTGCAAACTTGCAGAGCTCGGTTCTTGCTCGTCCGACGTCGAAAACGAATTTCGTCAAAACGTGCACGCTCCTGGAGTCGTCCTCTTCGTCATGGTCCCAGCCTTTTGGAGTTTTTTTGAAGTAGACGACGCCGGTGCCGCCGACGCAACTTTCCGACGAGCCTCCCATGAGCTTCTACGAACCTCCAATGGCGATTCTGACTTCGTAGTTGGCTTCCGGACCGCCCTATTATCATAACGCAAGTCTAAGAAAATTGGTCTCCTCTCCTCTCCTCTCCTTTCTTCTTTCTTTCTCTCTTCTCTTTGTATTTCTGTTCGTCATCTATGGATGGAGGAAAAAGATGAAAGGACTCACCCTTTGTTTAAAGGCTCTTTAAAGAACTGTCACTCTCCCCTCTATGATCGTATCCAAATTATTAGATATGCCAACCCGTTATGTTAAAGTGTGTCGGGAATAATTGGTCTTCTCCCTCTCTCCGTCCGTGCAAAAATGCATTTACTAGGCCTGGGATTTACGTCTCAATATTAATAAACAGAAGATTCCTCATGAGCATCGATAGTAAGTGTCGCAACCGTCCCTCCGGGGGGTTCGAATGTCGTCGCGTCGGCAATTTTGGGAGTCGCCATCGATCTTACTTGGAGTGGATCGAACACTCTTTGATCGGCTCTAGCCTTAGGGTCAGAACCGAGATATGGTCTGCGGTTAAGAGATCTGGGTTCGGGAGTACGGTTACGTGTGGGGAAGTGAAATCACACCCCACAACGCCCTAAATTGGTACTACTTAAATTGATAAGTTTTTATATGTGTTGGGTGTATTTTAGAAATATTTTTGTAATTTTAGGGTCTCACTGGACCATTAAAGAAATTAAATCGTATAAATTGTAATTTAATTGTACGCCCACTGATGTAAAATTAAAGGATGGAATTAATTGGTTAGTTGGACTCGAACCTTATCGGTTGCCTACGTACCCGTTAGACGGGATCAAAGTCCACGTAGTTCGTTCGAACTTTGACAATTTAATTGTAATCACGTTCCACTGATCGTGATTTTCGTATTATAATTTTGTTAATAAAAATTCATTTAGATTATTATGAGGTTATGAAAATAAACGCAAGTATTTTAGCTATTAGGAAGTATTGTGGCGTATTAAAAAAGAACGAGGTAAACTTAATCCGCATTCTACATTTCGTATTAAGAATTTTAAAGCAAATAAAATTAAATGGGATGACGATTTTCATGCATGATGGGTCGGCAGCCCAACTGGCTAAAACGCCAGACCAAACTCGTGTTTGACCCAGAGGACTTGGGTTCGAAACGCGATGGAGGAGATTTTTTCATTTCTCGTTTTAGTGTAGAGATGGTGGAAGGGCGGCTTGGTAATTACTCAAAAGGACGGTGGTAAGGCCACATAATTTATTAGAAACCCTAAGGGCATTTTAGTATTTGTAATTAATGAGGTATATAAACCTCTCTAAGCAAACCCTAATCCATCCTAACCAAGAGGCGGCTGCCTTCACTCTCCCTCTCTCTCTCTCGGCCGATTCTCCCGTCCTCTCTAGAACCAACCAAAAACCCTAACCCGCCATCTTCTCACCTCGCCTCGCCTTTCTCTTCCAGAGAACAAAAAGAAACCCTAGCCTAATCAAAACACGCCGCCGACATCCTCCCAATAGTCCAGATCAGAGGTGAATAAAGCGCCTCTTTCTCACCTCTTCCTCCTCGTCTTCAACCTCCACAAAAGCCTCCCTCTCTCCCTTTTCGATTTGCCTAAAAGACCACTCACACTAGACGAAATCAACCGAGATGGCCTCGATCTAGGTAAGATCGAAACATGCACTGTCTTTTTATTTGTTTTAGGCGATTTTTATTGTGCTTCGGCTAATTTTTCTTTCGTTTTCCTTTTTTTTTCGGAAATCGACTCGAACCAAAGCGGGACTCTCGCCTGTTCGCCTAGTATCTCAACCTGACCTTCTTCACCAAAACGATGGCGACGAGGGGTGACTCTTACCCTCTGGTAAGATTTTTCTACATGCATGTCTTTTTTGTTGATTCTAGGGATCGGACTTTAATTTTCCATTGTTATTTTTTGTATTCTGTGTTGACGAAAGGCGAGGACGGCGTCTGAAAGGGGCCTACTGGCCTCGAACCTTACTGCGGAGACAAGACGGCGAACTCGCCGTCATGAATCCCCGTTTAAGGTGGGTTCTCTTTTATATATTCTTTATATGGATCCCGATTTACTACTACTATCTCTTAGATTCTGAATTTTTCTTGTTTTTGCAGATTTCTAAGATTTGAGGAAAACAATAGGTTATATACTCCTACCTCATGGTTTCCTTGCCTAATCCGGTTTGGGGTCTGTGGGTTAATTGCAGCTTATCGATCTGCTTGAGTACCTACATTCCAGATTTGGGTCGGTCTCCTTGATTGATCCTTCGCTAAAACGTTTTATTGGGATGCTAAAGAGCGTTACTGGTTTTGTTAAGTTTTCACTTTTTAAAGCGAGCCTAAAGTAAACTCAAGGCCATAGCCACTTCTTATGACCATATTGTTGATGGGAAGCTTCAATCCGAATTTAAGCCATGGCCGCTGCTCATGACCATCAGATTGATGGGAAGCTTACCTCTAAACTTGGGCTGTGGTAAGATGATTGGTTTTGAAACTGGTGCGGGTGTGTCAGCATGAAATTTCCTATATGTATGGCTTTATAGGATATCTATTGGTTTCGTGTACAGGAATTCAAAAACATATAATCTTTTTTTGTAAAGCAAAAAGTGGTGCTCTTGAACACAAAAAGAGGTATTTTAAAATACTCTCCCAAGGATCTGGTTTGAATTCTATTTTATATTTGAAATCTTCTGCTATGTTTTTAGGTTGTTTAGATGGTTATATTAGTATATAAAAAAACAGACTAACTAATTAGGGTACTAAACTTAGCTAGCATACGCACTGGAAAGGAGGAACTAAAACAAACATTCATTGTTTCTTAGATTTCCTATATCCGGTGGAATACAAGCATATTTTGGGTAATGATAAATGATAAATAGCAAGGTATACACAAATTAGGCTGAATACCTATGTAGCATATAAGTAATGAACATCTCATATAGGTATTATGGAATGAAAATCATAGTCATACACTTCCCAATTAAAATAGTTTTTCCTTCTATGCCGATGTATGGGTGAGATGTATGTACATGAATGGTGGGCTGTGGAATTACCAACCTGGTTTTGTCGTTAGATGGTGATGGTGATGGCGATGGCTTTTTGCTGTCTGCCCCCTTTGTGCTTCTTAATGCTCCTTGTCTGCCCCTTTAGTGTTTAATGCTCTGTCTGTCTCTTTAGTGCTTTTGTTCTTTCCTTTCTCTGCACTTTCTCCACCAAATCCTCTCTGCCCCCTTTTTGGGGTAAGCAAAAACCCCCTTATATATGATAACTTTTTACTGTTCATTGTTGTGTGCTGGCTGCTCCTCCTTTGCTCTGGAGGTGGTGGTCTGAACCACCTTTTGTGTTGGCAGTTTGGTATTGGTTCTTTGGAGGAGGTGGCCGAATTCCTCCTTTTGAGAGGTGGCAGTAATTTCTGCTGCTCTGCTACTCTGCTGCTCCTTTAGATAAGATAACTGCTGCTCTGCTACTCTTCTGCTCCTGTAGATAAGATAAGGATGATGGGTTTGGTTGATTGGGTTGACCTGAGTTGACCGATTTGACTAGAGTGGAACTGGGTCGACCATACTGGATTGGGCCGAAAAATGGGCCTGGGTTGAGTTTTGATGGTTTGAGAATTGGGCCTAAGTGTGTGTTGGTTGGTTGCTGGTATGGGCTGGTTTCTAATAGTTTCCTTTTCTCTTTTACAGGTTCTTGGTCTGGTTTTGGCCAAAAATGATGATCAATGGGGACCCAGACAGCCTCAATTGGCAAGGCCTCCAATTCTGATTGGTGCCCAAAAGAAAAAGGAAGAAGTCTTTTTTATTCATTCTTAATTCCTTGTCAAATGTAATAATTATTAGTTGTACATTTGTACTTTGTAATTATGCATGTAATTATTTTTGCGACTTGTAATTAGAATGATCATGTATTTATTGTATGGCCCAACTATTCAATTGATTGTTCCCACCCAATTTGCTTACTTTTTCTCCAATTGTGACCCATATCCCAACTTCTAAGTAAGTAGTTCCCAATTATGAACTTCGACCAATATTGACCAATATTAGTAAGTTTACTATGGTCTTCCTATCTCATTTGACCAATTTCAAACCTATGTCAATCATACTAGTATGAGTCGTGACGGCATACTATTGTTATTCTAAATAAAGCGAATTTGGTAGCTGTTAGCTACTGCTAATCCTACCTAGTACAAATATTCGAACTAAACAGAAAGAGGACCTTCGAACTAAACAGAAAGAGGACCTCGAAATTATTGGTACTTATTGATTTGCCACTGCTAATCTCAACCAACCTCGTCCAAACTTTCACTTGGGTTTTCTTTTTAATTTTTAAATGGAATATTCTTCCGAGTTTTGAGTAGGATGGTTGCTCCGGACAAAATGTGGTGTCTACAGTTGCCCCCCTTTGTATATCTCTTTGTATAAAGAGTTATACAAAGTTCTTATAAAGACACCAAATTTTGTAAAAGTATCATGATGGTTGTGTTAGGGTCCTTGAAATAGAATGTGATTTGAGGATGATGTTAGGATAGTGAGTGATTTGGTGTCTTTGTATAAGATTTCTGATAGCGAGAACTTCAGTTTCTTTGATAGTCTTTGCTACTGATGGAAAATTTACGTTTTTATATAGCGTTCGCCAACGCGAGTAATTTTCTAATACTCACTCTACTGTACTTCTTTGATGCTCGACAGCGTCGACAGTTTCTTCTGATGCCCGTCAATCATCTTCTGCTATATTTCTTTAGCGCTTGGCAGCTCCGGTTAGGTATTTACTGGTAGGGGCGCTCGTTATCTCTTATGCGTTATTGAATGATAGAGGGGCTCGCCAGCTCCTATGAGGTATTGATTTGGTAGGGGTGCTCCTCAGCTCCCGTGAGGTATTGAATGGTAGGGGCGCTCCTCAACTCCCATGCGTTGTTGACTGATAAAGGGGCTCGCCAGCTCCTGTGAGGTTTTGATTGGTTGGGGCGCTCCTCAGCTCCCGTGAGGTATTTGAATGGTAGGGGCGCTCCTCAGCTCCCATGCGTTGTTGACTGATCGAGGGGCTCGCCAGCTCCTGTGAGGTTTTGATTGGTTGGGGCGCTCCTCAGCTCCCGTGCGTTGTTGACTGATAGAGGGGCTCGCCAGCTCCTGTGAGGTTTTTATTGGTTGGGGCGCTCCTCAGCTCCCGTGCGTTGTTGACTGATAGAGGGGCTCGCCAGCTCCTGTGAGGTTTTGATTGGTTGGGGCGCTCCTCAGCTCCCGTGAGTTGTTGATTTGGTCCCGTGGTTGTAGGGAAGACTTTGGAATTTGTTTGCCCGGTGTGGTAGGCAAAGTGGGTGTAGATTTATTCCCATGGCGGTAGAGCAGACTTGGGATTTTGGTTGCCCCCTTGCGGTATGCATAGTGGGTGACGGGTTTTTTTTTCTTTCGGTTGCGGTAAGCAGACTCGCGAATTTGGTTGCCCCTTCGCAGTATGCGGAGCGGGGTTAGGTTTTCTACATTGTCCATGATAGTCGACGAAACAAGTTTTAGAAGGAGGGATCTCATTTGCTCGTGAAAGCCGACGAAGCAAATTTACTTAGTTATCTAAACTGCCCGTGATAGTCGACGAAACATGTTTAGTTGAGGGTATAATTTGCTCGTGATAGTCGACGAAGCAAATTGACTAGGTTCTCTAAATTGTCCGTGATAATCGACGAAACAAGTTTAGCATGAGGGTTTTAATTTGCTTGTGATAGTTGACGGAACAAATTTAGCAGGGGTCTAATTTGCTTGTGATAGACGACAAAACAAATTGACTAGTTAATTTCTAAATTGCCCGTGATAGTTGACGGAATAAGTTTAGCAGGGGTCTAATTTGTTTTTGATAGACGACAAAACAAATTGACTAGTTAATTTCTAAATTGCCCGTGATAGTCGACGGAACAAGTTTAGCAGGGGTCTAATTTCCTCGTGATAGTCGACGAAGCAAATTGACTAGGTTTTCTAAATTGCCCGTGATAGTCGACGGAACGAATTTAGTAGGGGGTTTTAATTTGCTCGTGATAGTCGACGAAGCAAATTGGCTAGGTAATTATTAGTTGCCCGTGATAGTCGACGGAACAAGTTAAAAAGATAGTCTAATTTGCTCGTGACAGTCGACGAAAAAAATTGACTAGGTAGTTTTTGTAATGTCCGTGATAGTCGACGGAACACGTCTATTAGAGGGCTCGCGATTGTTCGCCCGCACCGATATCGTATGCTCATGGTATTTGTTTAGGACATTCCTAAACCGTTGTTATGGCTTGTCATAAATGCACGTGAAAGCTAAACATGAGACTTGAAGAATTCACGTGAATGTAGTTGTTGTATCTTGTAGTGATTCCTTTTTACAATCATTGGAAATCCAACTATATGTATGAGTTATTTTGGGAATTGCTGGCAATAAATGCATGACCCATTTTAACATATGATGTTGTTTAAGGAGTATCAAAATGATTTTCGAGATTGATTGTGTGACGAATCACACCGATGAAGTCGTGAATGTTGAGTGAAAAAGAAGATATGATGCATTTGATAATCTCTATGCAATTTTGCCTGGGTCTCCTTTAAATTGCTCATCTTCGAAGATTGTCAATCCCTTTCGATCAACTTGATCCATAGTTCGTGCTAATGCTGAAGCGACTTTGTACTTGTTGTCCTGACGTATATCTTCTTGGTGGTAGTTTCACGAAGATATACTTTGCCAGCTAAGGTAATGATGTGTTTTATCTCTGTTCTTCTTGTGGGACAAGTTTGGGGAGTTGTGCATATCTTGGTATGTTTAGTATATTGGTTCCCTCTCCTTCCGACCCTGAAGTTTAAGGATAATAAGTTGGATGGTTGGTTTAATGAGATTTGAATGTTCTCAAATCCCTTGAGATTTCTTCATCAGCTCATGAGTGAAGTTGAATAATCTGATTCTTGGGTACTCAGACTTCCCCTTCTTCCATACTGCACTGTTTTTGCCCCCCAAAGATCTGTTGCTCACTTTCTATTCTCCAGAACAAAGAGTGACTTTATCAATCTTGACTTATGATGAATGCAACAATGTTTGAAAATGTTTATTGGAGAATTAATAATGAAAGCCATATTAAGACTTTGCTTTCGTGAAGTGTGTGCAAATGGATAAAATCATTTTTGCGCGGTAGTTGCCATGAGGTCAAATTTGATTTTTTCAATAAAAGAAGTGTAATTCAAGCCATGAGAATATCAGTAAGCCCTCACTCTCACTCTTGCTTTTGATTTTGCTCGCTCTCACTTCCACTTTTGGTTCTGCTCACCACTAATTCCTATAGGTGATTTGAGTGTACGACATTTCAGCTACCATTAAGATTCTGGTCACCTTGAGATGTCTCATTTTATGTTGGTGGCCAACTGCGTTCCTTGTGCAGCAACGTGGAAGACCTTGGTGTGATTGATTTAGGATACCTTCCTATGGCTTTGTTGTGGACGTTGGTTTCCCATGAAAGGGGCTTTTGTCCGGTATGACTTTGATGGTAGGAGTCCCCTTGAAGTGTGGTTTATTCAGATGGGTGAAAGATAAGTCAGATTTGGATATCACCCCTATTGCTTCTTGTAGAGGGATTCTGGTTTTGCCCCCAATGTATGAGATTGACATGATGGTTGAGAACCACTACTATCACGGTCTTTTTCTCGGCGAAGATTTGTTTGAAAATGTCGCCAGTCTTGGGCATATTTGGGGGAATATGTGTTTGGCTGGCTTTGCCCCCTGTCTTTGAGATTATGGTTTCAAGAGTCGTGGTTTTGAAGTTTTTGCGAATGTAATCTGGTTATGGACTTGTCAAGGTTTTTGTTTGACCTCTAAATGTGGGTTGTGGTGGAGCTTCAGCTTCTGACTTGCTCTCAAAATGATGAGTATCTGGGACGAAGTTATTTTGGCCGAAAAGGCTTTCTTATCATGGAAGGTCTTGGCTTGAGGTCATTATATTTTCCTTGTAAGACCTTGACTTGATACATGCGGTTGATACTTCAAATGCTTAATTAGGGGCACCTAATTTGTAAGTCCCACAAAATATTTCTTCTTTTTTTCAGCTTTTTTTTTTCTTCGTGCGGGACTTACTTGGCTATGGTATGCCCACATCTGTGCTTCTCTTTTTCCTTGATCTAGAATTTGTCTTTGGTAGGAGTAGTATCGAAAAGTGGAGTTTGTCTTGATGATTGGTAATGTGGGTGTCTCTTCTCGTTGGCTAGGTTGAATAGACTATTCTTTTTTCCGTACAAGCGAGGATTCTGACGCAATGTGCTTGTTTGTGTATATGAGTGCTTCACTCGTGAGACTCTGAGAGGGTTTTCTTGCTATTATAGAAATGTTTGGCTCCATGTGCATCGGGGTTTGGCTATTTGACTTCACGTAAACTGAGCCTCAATTTGTTGGTGAAAGTCGACTATAATGGTGACGAGATTCTACAAGTAGCATGTTGTCGTATACTCATTACACCTTTTGACTATTCATGGTCACCAGTAGGGTGTTTATCTCTCGATTTTAGCAAACACGTACACTCATAACACCAGTGGGTGCTCAAATTATTGACAGTAGCATGGTGGTTATAATCGCTCGACACCAGTGGGGTGTCCGAAATCTCAGCACCAGTGAGGTACTCACATTTTTTGGCATGAAAATCTCATGGCTTTAGCTTGAAAATAAAACTGAATTTTGATGGCTTTCATGTTTGTAGAAGATAAATCCGTTTTAAAAGAAAATAATCCGAAGTGACATTCGCTATTTTGATAAAAAAAACCCATTGATGCGAACTCTTAATTCAAGATTGATACTATTCACGCAATGCTCCAAAGAGGTCGAAAATTGAAAGATCTTTTATTCATGACGATGGAAGCAAAACTGATACAACTTTTAACAAGGTAAAATGTCTCGATTAGTTGATGATAATCAACATCATCCATGCATTGAGGTTTGCCTTGTGGCTTGCCTAACGATTTTCTTGATTGGGCTACAAGTTGTGGTTGTTCTCCAGCAATGAGTCGTGGTTTTTTTCAAATTTTGACGAAGCCTTATGGAAAATGCTCACATGTCCTTTCATTTCTTCAAGTGTCGCTAACCTTCTTTTGATGAAGTACAATTCCCTCTATAATGACTCAGAAATGAGCATAACTTTGGATCCTGCCGATGTTTAAGGATTT